GGAAGAAGTGGGAGGGGAGCTGTTGCATTGTGGTAAACTGTGGTCAATGTCATGAGACAAAGTATATGTAAACTGCTGTATGGAAAGTGAATTTGTTATGTAAATCTTCACCCAAATCACACACACACACACACAGATTTTATTAAACAGCAAAATAAATAAATAAATATAATCTATAAGGTAAATAGTCTGCCAGCAGATCAGTCAGTGTAGATTTATTAAGTACCTTCTTTGTCCATAATTAACAATATACCGAATAAGTGCAGTACAGTAATGATAATTAGATAAAAACATTTTGGACTGGACTCAGATTAGGCTTTGGGGCAGAAGATGAACTTCAGTCATATCTTCAAAGATAGAATGAAAGTGTTGAAAAGAGAGACCTAGTAGATTTTGTATAAGAAAAGCTATTTCATATAGATGATGTTTTTTGAGAAACAGCAACATGTGAAATGCTTTTGGTTTTTCAAGAGCACTAGCCATAAAGATTCTGACTAATATGACAGAGTAACACTGTTGTGTAGCGTTTTCTTTGCTGTAATCTGTACAGAAGCAGATTGATGGGTCTTTTTCCCCTGATAGCACAACAGTTAAGTGCTTGATTACCAATCAGCCAAAAGGTTGGTGGTTTGAACCCACCTGGGAGCTCTGGTAGCGTAGTGGCTAAGGCACTTGACTGCTAACCAGAAGGCTGGCGGTTCAAACCCACCAGCCACTCCTCGGAAGGAAGGTTGGGTAATCTGCTTCTGTAGTGATACTGCCTTGGGAAACCCAAGGAGGGGTCGCTATGAGTTGGGTCCGACTCAACGGTACATAACAACAACAACAGTAGCTCCATGGAAGAAAGACCTGGCGATCTGATCTTGTAAAGATTACAGTGTAGAAAACTCTATGAGATAGTTCTATTCTGTCACATGAGATTGCTGTGAGTTAACGTTGACTCCAAGGCACCTAACAACAATAGTAGCAGTAGCAGCTATAAAGAAGTTTAGGTTTTAATCCTTGTTCCATACCTTACTTTTACTTCCTGATGTTAGATCTTTTTATTCATTTATTTGTAAAATTTAGAAAATGGTACCTGATTTAACCTATTTCAAGTGAAATAACATGTTTGAAACTGCTCTTTACAAGTTGAACCTTTACACATACATTATTATTGAATATTTTAAAAACTTAAAGAATCATACACATTAAAAAAAATCTTTTTCTTTGCCAATATATAAACAATTGGAATATATGAATTTTTAAAAAGATTGTTTACATTAACTTTTGGTTCTGTTTATTTACTCCCTTTTTCTTGGTAGCGGATACTTTGTTTTCAAGGAAGCTGAATGGGAAATACAGACTTGAGCGACTTGTTCCAACTGCAGTATATCAGCACATGAAAATGCATAAACGAATTCTTGGACACTTGTCATCTGTGTACTGTGTAACTTTTGATAGAACTGGCAGACGGATATTTACTGTAAGTAATTGTTTTAATTATTCCCTTTATATTTGCATGGAATTGAACTAACATTGTTTATGGGTGAATATGAAATAAAACCTTTATTTCTTTTAATGGAATATTGGAATTTCAGGTAATTTAACTTACTAATGGAAGATTTTTTTTTTTTTTGATTTAGGCTTTACTCAAATTTGGAAAGTTTCTGAAAGACAGGTTATATAGCATAGTCACAGTTAAGTCATGGTCCTATATAATCTATAGAAAACCACCTGCTGGCTGTCCCTTAAAATAATGTTAGAAGAATTCTGAGCTTATCTACTGTCCTTTATTAATACCTTATATCCTTAACACTGCATTCTTTAACATATCTGATGTTACATTGAAAGGAGTTTGCTTTTATTTATTTGTTGTTTTAAACTGTTTAATGGTGAAAGGCAGAAATTAGGTCAGCTTTATTTTAAGTGAAAAAGCTACTTTTGGAAATATTTCAGTTTGTTTTCAGATGCCATAACTATTATATCCACTTAAGGCAATAGTTACTACATTAACACTATTTCGGTGATGTTTGTTATTGATATGTGGGCTGAAGGTAGGCATTTATTCAAAGGTTCCTTAATTTCCTTTGAAACAAGAAAATGGGAAAGTGAAGTTAAAATGGAAATTCCAATCTCTGCCTTTGGAGAGCAGCTGGGGATTTTACATAGTCATAACAATTACATATTCCACTTTTTAATAAGTATGCTTGTAAACTTAGAGCTATTTATGTCTTTTTCTCCTCCTTCATCTATATATCTACCCTATACAATTTTTGTAATAGTGTACACCCTATACAATTTTTTGCAAAGTGTACAATCCCCTTACTAGTGTCCTGTGCACATTATATGCATGTGTGTGTTAAAGTGGGCATGTTATATGCAAACAATAGGGTAGTCATCTGTGAAAAACAGAAGGATGAAGGATGGAAACTTTTCATGCATTCTTTTCCCCTAGGTCTAATCTACCTCAGGCATTTGCAGATCTCATGTCTATATTCTGTTCTCCCATTTCTTTCATCTTTGATGTTCTCTATGAAACAAAATGTAATTGAAATTTTCTAAACTTTATGACAGATTATTTTCAGAGGGAGAACAGGCAGCTTTGTATTTGCCAAAGTGCTCGATATATCACAGTAGGTATTTTTAAATGCTGATTAAAAATTGTTGTTGTTATGTGCCATCGAGTCGGACCTGACTCATAACGACCCCTCCTTGGGTTTCCAAGGCGTTATCACTACGGAAGTAGATTGCCCAACCTTCCTTCCGAGGAATGGCTGGTGGGTTTGAACCGCCAGCCTCTGGTTAGCAGCCAAGTGCCTTAGGCACTCCGCTACCAGAGTTTCTAATTAAAAATTACATTTAGCCATTTCAAAACTTGACTGCTAACCAGAGGGTTAGTGGTTCAAACCCACTAGCCACTCCTTGAAAGGAAGATTGGGCAATCTACTTCCTTAGTGATACTGCCTTGGAAACTCAAGGTAGGGGTCACTGTGAGTCGGAGACCACTCGACAGCACATAACAACATCAACATACTAATATTCGTATTCAGCTCTCAAAACCTAAAGTAAACTTCCTTTCTAATGTTTGAAGGAATTCTCTCAAAAGCAATCATAAACAGAAATAACGAGGAAGAAGTTTTATGTTGTATTTGTACTTCATTTTATTGATTATAAGATGATGTTACTGCACTGGTATTTTATATGTATTCACATGTGTGTGTATGTGTGTGTATATTTATATATATGTACTTAAAATACTCCATACTTAATTTTATTATGTTAGTAAATACCTGGTGGGAATTCTTTCTTTAAAAGTGATAAGGATGGTAGTAAGCATTTGTTTGCTCTACTTTTTGAAGCATTAATGTGTATTTTTATTTGAATTAGATAAATAATTTCCTGGAAGTTTTTGAGGAAAAAATGTAAAAAAATAATATGCTTTGTGATATTAATTTACTAGAATCATACATATGTACAAGGCTCAAAGAGGCTCTGAACTAGAGGAGTTAGTCAAATCCAGCCTGACACCTGTTTTTGTAAATAAGCTTTTATTGAAGCAGCCATGTTCCTTATATATTGTCTATGGTTGCCTTCATGCTAAAATGCAGAGTTGAGTAGTTGTGACAGAGACTGTATAGCCTACAAAGCCTAAAATATTTACTCTCTGGCTCTGTAAAGAAATGTTTGCTATCCTTTCCTCTTAACTTCTAGTTCCTACTTGTCAAAGCATTTGATTTGGGGACTAGTAATGGTGTATAAAGAAGAAGCTATATTCTAATTATTTACTTTAGTTGAAGACATGTAAATAACGGCATGAAAGTTAGCATGTTGGTGTTGTTAGGTGCTGTTGAGTCGTCTCTGACTCAACGACCCTCTGCACAGCAGAACAAAACACTGCCCGGTCCTGTGCCAGCCCATCTTGTTGAGGGCCTTCCCCTTCTTCGTTGACCCTTTACCAAGAATGATATCCTTCTGCAGGAAATGGTTCCTTCTGACAACATGACCAAAGTAGGTCAGATGAAGGCTGGCCATTTTCACTTCCAAGGTGCATACTGGCTGTATTTCCTCCAGGACAGATTTGTTAGTCTTTTTAGCAGGCCATGGTACTCTAAGCATTCATCTCCAACGCTACATCTCAAAAGCATCCAGTCTTCTTTGCTCTTCCATATTCATTCCAGCTCTCACATGCATAAGAGGTGATTGAAAATACCATGGTTTGGCTGAGGCATACCTCAGTCTTCAAGGAGACATCCTGGCTCCTCATCACTTGAAAAAAGGTCCTTTGAAGCAGATTTGCCCAGTGCAATATGTTGTCTGATG